TTTCCATAAACATGAATTAAATTAATGTTTTTTAACGTAATTGACCAAAAGTGCCCATTCGAAACAAGAGATGAAAAGTAGGGAAAATGATTTTAATTAGATAAATAGTATTTACAAAAGATAATTTTATTTTATCTTATTTTAATTATGGTAACGACAGTTTATTTGTTTTTCGGTGAGAATACGATATGCCATGAATCATAGAAATCAGTAGAAAATATTGACCGCTTGGAATGCGTATATCTAATTACTAATTGCAACTTAAAATAATACGATGTGCGTATGTCAGCTATTTTATGTCGTTCTCTGACTACATAATGATAATAAGGCTTTTATTTAGTAGTTATTCTGACTTTACAGTTAAGTGTTAATTGAAAATGAAAATTCAAAAATTAAGCAAAGGGAATATCTTGGACATCCGTGCAAAAGAGAGTGTCTGAGAGTTTTGGCAACACTGATCTCCATAAGCGTAATGTTATTTTCTTAACTTGAAACAAAGAATAGTAATAACTCTGTCATATTCTCAATGTATTAAAAGTAAATTTACGCATTCTTCATTATTTTATTTCAAACGAACTATTATATACGTTTTATCTTTCACCTGAAACACGTTTCTACGTTTAAGTTTATAAACAGTATAGGGAAAATCTTAAAGATGTCTACTTTCTACCCAAAAGCTAGTAGTTAAGGCCTAACCAGGAAGACTTAAAATATAGAAAGTAAAAGCAACCTAAATCCAACAAGTATTGAGATCTATCGAACATTTTTGACTAGTTTTTATAAACAAATAAGGTAGTTTCAAAAATCTAACCGATTGTCATCCAGATTATATATTCTCTCAATAATTTTTCCCACATAATTTTCAATACAAAAAATTACTATATTCACACAACAAATTCTCAACATAAACAAGGATATATGACTATCAAATAACCCTTAATTAAGGATCAGTGTTAAATTGTGTTTTATTACCAAACAGCATTACAAAATAAATTACAATATATACTATAATAAAATATAATTAAAAAAAGTACAAAAACATTTATTTATAGACTTAACACGAAAAAATAAAAACTAATAATGATTTACAACACTATAAACCTTATAAAATTTGAACACAATTTTTCGAGCCATCTTTTTCTGGTCGTTCTACTCTTCTTTTATTTTCCAACTGTTTCAATTTCTTTGTTGCTCTTTTATCATTCATTGTTTCTAAATGACCTAACAATTTTAGTCTCGTTTCTGTGGTTGCTTGTGCTATTCCAGGTTCCGCATATAGTTTCATTACCTCAGTATTAGTACTTCTTCTGTAGAAGTCTCTTTCCTTGACTCGTCCTATAATTCTTTTTAAGTTTTCTTTCCCATATATTCTCTTCTGCTTGGGTTAAAGTCCAAATCTCACTTGCATATAACACCGTTGATATCAGCATATTTTTTGGTAGTGTAGTGTCGTCCTAGTTTTACTTCCTATTTGTAATTTTGTCGTTAGTTTATGTTCTTCTTTTCCATTTTCATTTACATTCCCAGATAAGTGTAATTTTTAACTGGTTAGAATTTTGTTACATTTCCAGCTTTTCCTATCAACAATTTTTCTGCTTCATTTTCACCGTATTGTGTTACTGTTGTTTCAAGTATTTTGACTTCTGTTCATTGATGTTCAGGTTTACTTTGTCTGCGAACAATATGAAAGTCCTGCATACTTATTTTAATATGTTCCTGGATTCTTACTAGGATTACGACATCGTGTACGTAGTCTAGAATTTGGCAACTCTTTATTTTTATAATTCCTGTTCCATTTTGTCCACTCTTTCTCATTACCTATTCCAGAATTATATTTAACAGAGTTATAGACAAGGGATGCCCATTTTTTAAATAGCAACTACAATGGTTGAACTGAAGAAATTTCAGTTCAACCGTTCAGCTTTTGAATGTCGGTAAAATGCGGGAAGTGATATGGACTTTGCGGATAATATTACCAATCGCGTATAAGTAGAGTTGTTTTATGATTTCGCTTAGTTCTAACTTTTTAGGTTGGTTTACGAGAACATTAAAACTTAGCAATACTGCAACAATAAACTATGAATTTTCTGCATTTGGCGCAACTCGGTGATATATATTGTACAGCGCTACAGGACATGTAGGCCCCTGGCTTCAAAAATTTGGTTATTTATTTCCCTCCATATTTTCCGGTCTCTTGTTTTTTTCTCTCCAATCTCTCACACCTATTTCTGATAAGTCTTGCTTTACTTCTTCCAACCATTTCTTCTTTGGACGTCCTCTTCTTTTTTTCCTACTTCTCCCTCCTTCAGCTTTGTTTTAACATTTCGGTTCTCTGGCATTCGTATAATGTGACCAAACCATCTAGCTCTTTGGGTTCTTATTTTTGCCATTGTTAAAGTCTTAACATATCCCTAATAATCCCTCATTATTCTGTTGTTCAAAATATATTCTCTTATTTTCGATATATCTCAACTCAAATAAAACGAGTTTTTTGTCTCGTCTTCTTTCCATTAAAACAGGTTGGTTCTTTTGGTATCCAAACACACTTAGATTATTTGACCGTCAATTCTCCTCATTGACCGTCAATTCTCAATATAAAAAACTATCATTTTTACGACCTTAACTGGTCATAAACGTTTTTTTTGCTGCTTCGCTAATTCGTTACAAAAACAAGTTTTTTGTCTACCTATAACTGGGTCAACTATATTTGTTCATCCTCGGAACTCGTAAAAGGGCCATAAATCTTTTAGTTTTATTGTTTTTATGTAGTATCTTCGTAATGTATGAAAAAGTGGCTTTTTAGAACTCACCGTTTGGGACATGTAAAGTTCGTTAAAAATGTTAAAATTCATTACAACCGTTGAAAAATTGGCGGTTGTTTTTCCCTATAAAAGGTTGAATCAAAGTGGCATTCACACCCTTCGTGCTCGGTCCTAGTGCCAAACAGTTTACATTCAAGGCTTTGTTCCTGGTGCTCCTACTGGTTAGTAGTTACTTCAAGACTTCTCTATCGGTCCCAGTGCCAAATACTAGACTTAGTTCACATAGCAGAAAAATAAATAGTTAGTGTTAGTTAAATACTTCTGTAAACTACAATCTTTTGTAACTAAAGTGCAACGTAAAATAAAATGCCATTAAATTCAACCAGCATTATTACTACCAGTTCGATAAACTTCGATTGTTTCAACTAAGGATTATTTAATCCAAGTCCTCATATTTAGCCAGTTCCAAAGTCTGGCCCCCGTCTTGTATTGTAGAAAGGAGACAATTCACAACAGCCATGATTATTGGTTTTTCATACATCCTCATTATTTCTTTATTTGTTCGTCTTCTCCAAATATTCTGCAACTGTTAATTATTATTTTCATTTTTTAAATTTCTTCTTACCAAATTTAACGTTTTTAAAAAGTAATGTTTTTACCTAAGTAGGTTATAGAATAATGATCCAAAACTAGAATAATTATTCGTTTAAAAAATGTTAATGTGCATCTAATCTAGGAGTCAACAATTTGCACAAAACCATCCTCAGGCTGATACAAAAAACCAACAAATATCAGATATTGTACACGACGTTGTTTTTAGAAGTTACCAGAAGAACACATTAAAAATATGAGTGTCAGAATAACTATTGCTGTATAGTGTTATTGTGCTAACAAAATTTTTATTTTAACAGTTATTATTGACATTGTGTAATAGTCAGTATTTAACACAAAATTGCAAAATATATTTTAAAAAGAGAAAAGAAAACCTGCACAAATTACAAACACAACTAAACAAGAAATAATATTTCGACATTCGACCTATTGCAGTTCTTCCTCTTCATTCCTTGAGCCCTTGTCAGGGCGTGGTGACACTCTAAATATTATTGGCATGCTGCCTCCATTGGCTGCGATCTTGTGCCATATGCACGGCTTGATGTAGGGATTTTCCCACCAGAGATTTGGTCTACCTATCGTGTTGAAGATCTTCCTCTTGGTCTTCGGCCTTCTATTTTTCCTTCTTCTACCAATAGTTCCATAGTCACCGTTCTTCTAGCTATGTGGCCGAAAAAAATTAGGTATGATCGGTTTACTTTTTTTAATAGCCTCTCTTTTATATGAAGCTCTTCCAGAATTGACAGGTTGATTCTATGTTCTGTCTAGGACACGCGTAGAACTCTTCTATAGACCTACATTTCGAAGGCTTCGATCTTATTCTTATCGATTTTTTTTAGAGTCCACAGCTGACACAGCCACAACCCAAAAGTTACTGGAAACGGCAGAGATGAGGAAGAATTACAGGAAATGCGCTGAGAGATTGAAAGAGAAGTGAAGACAATAGAAGAAAATGTAACGTAAATTGTATAAATGGACACAAAATAGAAGAAAAGAATGGAATAACCACATAAGCAGAATGAAGGAGACCCGTCTCGTCAAAATAGCAAGAGATAAGTCACCAATCGGCAGAAGTATCGGACGACCGCGCAAAAGATAAAGTGACAACCTGTCATCAGAGTTATCAATCCGCCAATGAACAAGCAGATTTGCTTATAAACAGGAAGAAGAATATTCAGAATATATATTGTACAATAATGGTGATAGTATGCAGCCCTGTCTAGTTCCTTTCTTCATTTTGAACTCATCTGAATATATTCCGTGTATTTTAATTTTGGCTACGTTTTTATCATATATATTTCTTATTAGGCTAACCGGTTGGTTAGGTACTCCCAAATTTTTCATTATATTCCAGAGGGGCAGTTACTCCAACGATTTTATGTTCAGAAACTAGTACTAGTACACAATAGAACCCGCAAGTTAACTAACATAATTACGGTATGGTACTGCAGATAACTTGCATCTGGTCCATTGACTCGAGAATAAGACATCTTTATTTATTTCATAGTATTAGGTCAGCACAAATAAAATAAAAGTAATTCAATGTAGTAAGCAAAAAGTGACAAGCCAAAACAACCAAACGATTGTAATACTATTCTTTGACATAATGTTAAAAATAATTTTCGCAGTAAATATTTTAATATAAACAAATAATGAGTTTCATGTGTATCGTGAATAACATTTATAGTTAGAAAAATATTTTTATAGATTTTTGAAACCACCTTCACATCCTACCGTAAAACTCTCCTAAAAATAAACAAAAATTAAAAACTCATCACGTAACAACGGTTACGCCTTGTCGACGTTCTCTAACACCATCGAACACAGCTGAAGGCAAAACTTGGTCGAAAATTCTTTCAAAAAACCAGAAGACGTGGGTTTAACGTCGTCTTCTTCCGGATTGCAGAAATTCTTACAAAATAGCAGTATAGAAAGTGGATAGAAGTACTTATCCATGTTCTTCAGAAGGATATTCTCGAGTACTGGCACTGGGAGATTACTGGAAAGCCAAAATTCTATACATTTTAGTAGAATGTTCTGCATCAGGATGTGGTTCTCCGAAACGTAGACTTTTCTGAAAAATATAGTACTGATATTAGCTAAAACATATTTTTAAAATTTGTTACATATAAAAATTTCAATAGTATTAGGTTGGAGTGAACACAACAACATAACGACGAACCACGACAGTCAGAAATCTTAGAAGAATCGCTAGATGAAGACCGATGAATGGAGAAATTTCTGGCTCGTTGCCAGATGTCTGACAGATATTTGTTACATTTTTACATTCGCAATAATGTAATTCATTTTATGTCTGTTCCAAATGACGAGGTGTTTTAAACTTAAATTTGTTTCTATATAGAAAGAATTAATTATTAAATTAAAAGCTTATGTTTAATATTTTTGTTAGTGATAAGTGTTCGCTTGTAAATAATCTTTTATAGAAAATTAATAATTTGCACGCAAATTTATTCCTAATGTGAACTTGATAATTTAACTACCTTCTATAGGTAGAAGAAAATAGATACGTTCTAGTAAGCCAACAATTAAACAACTATATTGTCTTATAACAGATTGAATGCTGCACAAAGACTAAACTCACTTCCTTTTGTGTAGCCGGAAACAAATCTTGATTAGCATCGCCTCCAATTCGACAATTATGTTTGTTGATGTAAATCATCAACTAGCCTATATTTGTCCACTGCTGAGCGTAGGCCTACCGTAAAATTTTCCACCGATTTTGATCTTGAGCTTCTTGCATTTGTGGTGATTCGCTTTATATTATCCGTCCATTTAGTCGGTTATTTTTTCAACTGTATCCGTGACTCCTGTTCTTCTTATTATTTCTTGGTTTGATACTTTATGTAATGTAATGTAATTCTTATTTTATTTATTGTTTCTTTTATTACAGTTAGTGTTTCTAAACCATATATTTAGGACCGGTAAAACATTGGTTAAAAACCTTTCTTTTTAAACAAACTGCAATATTAGATCTGAAAATGTCGTTCCATTTACCAAAGGCAGCTCATGTGAAACCTATCCTTCTTTGTATTTCAGTTGTCTGATTAACTCGGCCTCAGCGAATCTGATACCCTAGATATTTGTAAGCTATTACTTGGTCGATGCTATGGCTTTCAATCTGAATTGTCTCGCTGACAACAAGGTTGATCATCAATTTTCACTTTCGAGTTGTTAATTTTAAAACCAATTGTTTTAAATGCTTCATAGAGCGTTTCCAGCATTTTTGTAGCTTTATTAACTTATATTTTAACGATATCATCGGCAAATCTTAGGTGGTTTAGTTCCTCTCCATTTATATTAATTCCCATATTATCTTTTTGTACCATTTGATTGAACATTCGAGTACAGGTGTAAAAAATTTCGGGGAGATAGTATCACCCTGACTAATTCCACGTTTTATTCGGAATTATTTGGTATATTCATGAAGTCAGACACAAGCTGTACCAGTTTCTTAGATACTCTTAATTAAGACAATTTACCGGTATTCGATGCTGCAGTCAGCCAATGCTCGAAGCATTTTATGATGATATATAGTATCAAACGCCTTTTGATAGCCTATGAACATAAGAAAACTAGGCTTGTTGTGTTCATTGTACTTTTCTATTAGCGTTTTAATAACTTGTAGATGATCATTTGTTTCGTATATGTAGCGGAACCCAGCCTGTTCGCAAGGTTGGTAACTATCAAGTTTGTTCACAAGCCGTATTTTTTATTATCGTCATGAATAGTTTGTATGTATGGGAGAGCAAACTAATAGGTCTGTAGTTCTTTAGGTCCGAAATGTGACCTTTTTGCGCATTATGGTTATCATTACATTATGCCATTGGGAGGGTGTTACACCTTTTGTCAAACAAACATTAAACATCTTTTTCAACACATTTATTAACGTTCCTACTGCTTCTTTGATAATATATGGTCTATGACGATCCTATCTTCTCCAGGTAATTTATTGTATAAAATCTCCGAGAGAGTTCTTTTTATTTCCTCTGTTGTGATCTGGGATGTCTTCTGAGCCTACATTTTGAACTTGTGGTATTTGATTTTAATTTGGATCTGAAATTTTTTTTCGTTTATACAATTCTGAGTAAAAATCTTGAGTCATTTTTAACATATCTTCCTTATTTGTTTTACTTTCTCCCTTTTTATTTACAAGTTTGCAAATATTTTTCGATCCTTCAGTCATTCTTCGGCGCAAAACCTTTAAACTTTTATTTTTATCAATGGATTTGAGTTAGGTATTTAGTGTTGTAATTTATGACATCTTTTCGAATTGATTTTGAGATATCGACTACGTACTCCACTCCCTATAGGAGATGATTACATTCTGTTACCGTAGAGAATCTTGCTCTATGCGCATTTTGTTCCTGATGTATCGGACTTGCCACTAATCCTTAATCAGCCCATCGAGCAGTTATTTTAGAGTGTTTAGTATAAAGGACATCAGACTTATCCAACTCAGAAACTAACTTTTTCCTTTTAATGTTGTCATTACAGCCTCGATGCTATTGGTCTGTACCCCTGTCCTAAGATAGACTGAAGTATTATGCACAATTTTTTGTAAACGTCTTGTATTTTATAGAAGTAGAAGCATGTCTATTGGATAAATAAATGAGACTTCATCTGGCACATGCCACTTTTGAACAGCTCTAGCCTCTTAAGTTGTGGCTACTGTTATTTTAACTAATTAACAAATAGATTACAAAAATCTGCCAGGTCACAATGTGGTCACTCATCAGTGATAGACCGGTGAACTGAAATATTAGGCCGAAACAATTCCAGATCACGGTATATAAACCTCGAATAGAATGTACCATTAAAAAGACTACAAAAACAAAAATTGCAAAATTACTGGGCATACACAACATATTTATTTTGTATAAAATGCCCCTGCTACATAAATACATATGAAAAATATACCGAACCCCATCAGCCATCGGATTATTGAAAATAATAAAAACTTACAAAGAAGCTGCATTTTAGTATGAAGTTTTAGCCAAGCGCCTATTCTGTTTGTAAAGAACCCACTCACCAAATCAAAACTGCAAAAATCTCCTCGATAACTTGGCAAAAAACTATAAAGTGTCTCTAATATGGGTACCGGTTCATGAAGGGATGCATGGGAATGAACGAGCAAATTTGTTGGCAAAACAAGGCTCGAATCTTTGCAGACCCCGAACCATTATGTGGCATCATGAAAGATGCTGCACGAAACGAGGTTTAGAAGTGGCTGATAGGGAATCATCAAAAGAAATAAAGATTCACTTAAGGAATCAAGGTTGGTTGTTGCCACTCAGAGCGTAAAGTCCCTTTTTAGAGCTGGGAAACTGTATGTTCCTTAAAAAATGTAATTCCTTGTCATCAACCTAGTGTTTTAATAATTATAATGTTACTCTAATTATGTAATTTATGGGTCATCTGACCTCATTATGTGCCTAGTTCAATTACTTTGTAGACGTTTTTCTCTGATGATGATGATCTGATACAATCGCAAGCGTTCTAAAAATTTATAAATCCATTTTGTATATTAAAATTTTATTAAAAAAATTTATACCATTTTACAAAGGAAGTTTTTACTTCATTGTAAGCTTTTTTTCAAACTATTATTATCGATATCTCAGTACCAACCTAGAAGTCAGATCAAAAAAGTTCTTAAAGCGTCATCAAATTGAACAGAATCCACAATTCTTGCAGATTTTTCGAAACATTGGACAGTTTTTGCTATTTTTTTAACTTTATTAGTTGATATCTTAGCATTAAAACTGCAGAATCAGTATAGATGATGTGACTTGCCACTATTTGAAATTTGCCACTGTATGCTAAATTGCAGTTAAGCAGGGTACTGGATTTTTTCTTTGGAGGTGGAAATACTAATTTCGTATCTTTTGTTCGATTACGTCATATGCAGGAAGTATATTAACAAAAATAGCCAAACACATAAAAAAGAATAAAAAAACACTAGCTTTTAAAACAAACAACAACTCGGGCAAATATATTAAAAACAACAAGAACCAAAAAAAGCACTTACATAGTGATGTATACAAACTTAAATGTGGCGACTGCCCAAAAAATTACATCAGTCAAACTGGTAGAACGTTTAACAAACGTATAGCAGAATATAAAAGGGCTTTCAATAATAGAAAAAGGTTCTGCGTGCGCACTTCATCTTCAAGGCCAGAATCATTCTTTTAATGACAAATTTCAAATTCTTCACATCCAAAACAAAAGCCAAAGCCTTAAGCTATCTTTATTAGAATCTATGAAAATCAACAAAATAAAAAATACAGACATAACTCTGAATGACCAATTTGAGACAAACAGTTCTCGCCCCAACCTATTCAGTTAAAAACTATAAAGTGTAAACACATACCAAAAATAGATCACATGAGAAATGCACTCTGCCGAAATAGCTGTAGTGATAAAAATTGAAAATGAATATTGTGGAAGTTTTGAAAACAAAAGTTTTCAGTGTTTTATTGTTATATCTGTTAACAGTTTATAACATTTGTTAATTTTCAAAAATGAATTTTCATAGCGAGATATTTTCATTTCATATGCATCAAAATTTTTAAATAGTTGATTCCGAGTGTGAAAAGTGAATGTTTTATGCAGTTCACAAACATTTGTGAATTTATTCGATTACCTAAATGTAAAAGTTCTGTATTTCTCTTTTTCTACCTTACCTTATATAAAATTCTACTACGTACGAAGCTGCATCAATAATTTCTTTAACTTTCTTATCCTTTATTTGTAATTCTACATCTGCCTGTTTCATTTTAATTTGAACGTTATCAATCTCTGATACCATTTTTGAAACACTGGAAATAGGCGGCGAACTTTCATTATTCGTTAAGGATTGAACATACTGCGAAATATTTTGTCTTATATCTCCTACTTCGGGTACTTCACAGGGACTTTCTCTTCCCCCTAAAGAATGTAAATATGGTTATTACATAGACAGATTAAAAAATATGTGGAAAATTAATAACTAGAATTGTGTAGTACTGTATGTTTAAAAAAACAGGCGTAATCAATTATACTATATATTTTTTATCAGAAGATAACTGCTTTTTCAGATTGCCCTCCAGTTAACGTTTTGAATTATGATGAAACTAACGTCAGCTATGATGATTAGGGGAAAAGAATATTGTTTATCTAGACGAGGAACCAAGTACCCGAAGCAAATCAATAATCATTACGAGGTTCACAGGGCTCTCGATGCTGTAGTAAAGGATGTTGCGGAAAAGGAGCTAGATGTAGTCAAACGAAAAATGGATGGATGCAGGTAACTTGGTTTACAGACTGGTTTGAAACCATATTGGTACCCCACGCAAGACAACTCGAAGGTAAAAAGTGATGATTGGGGACAATTTGACATCCCCCTTTTAAGATCGGGTTTTAGGACTGTGAGAATTGCACAATATCGAATTGGCTTGCCTTAATTGCGACACCCAAAGGTTTCTGGTGTGCCTAAAGATCAGTTTCCGTCGTTATAAAAAAATGATTAGAAATAATGGATCAGATACTTACTAAAACTGAGTACTACAAGTATGGAGATGGCGAAGAAAGTGCAATTAAAAGAGTTTTGAAGAATGAATTCGCGGCTTATCGCATGGTTCCTTTTTATCCAAATAAAGTTATAAAATTAAAGAATAAAATTACACCAGTCAACCGTGACATTGAGGATGTAGAACCGCTAATTAACGACAGCCTCAGAATATTTGAAAAATAGAGTCTGAGATAGAAGTTAATAAATGTAAAAAGCGAAAAGAAAATGAATATCCAACCTGGCAAAAGTGTTAGACGGCATAGAACAGCTAATACCAGTTCCTCCTCAGATAGTGAGGTGGAATATGTTGGCACTTATGTACTTTTAAATATTATGCCAGGGAAACAAAAATGTACAAATTACGTGTATGTCGGAAGGATCCAAGAAAAATTACCTTGCGAAGAATATGAAATCGTTGGAATTAAATTGCTGAATGAAATTCATAAATATTTTAAGGTTGTAGAAACCGATTTTTATTGTTCCTTTCAGCACATAATAAAAATTTTGTATTTTCTGTTATTTTGGTATAAACATTAATTTTTTGGAGAAAAATTTTTAACTTTAAAGACCGCATTTTAGATTAAATGAATATCGCTTCCATCTATTGGTGAATTTTTCATATCTTTAGGAAAACCCCATTATACGGTAAGACGAAAAATTTAACAAAGTCAACCCATTGCTTCTCTTCTCAGGACCACTCGATTTCATTACATGCTAAATATTTGTTAATAGCGATTTTCGCCATTTGAAGAATCTTTAAACTTCCCAAACCAAGCTTCAAAAGGTAGTAAGTGACTCGTTAGTTAATTTCAATAGATACAATAATTTTATATATTTTGTCTAATATTTTAAATTTTATATAGGTTTATCAAAACTTTATTGCTGGCTCTCATATAATAAATTGTACAGTTTTATTTTGATATATTAACAAAAGTATCTTTATCAAAACTTACCTTGGTGTTCTAAATCATCGCCCCACTGTCTTATACTATCTAACGAAGAGCTAGTGCTTAAAATGTGCGCAGGTGAAGTGCTGGAATATACTAAATTCTTCTCGTTTAAGTCGTCTTGAATGTTCCTCACTATTAATTCTATATAATCTTTGGAATCCGAATTTCGTTTAGCATAAGAAAATGTCATGTCAAGATCAAGAGATTCCAAATATTTCTTGAAGGCTATTAGTTGAAAACCTAGACTGTCGCCAAAATGGCCATCTAGCATGGCTATTTTTGCCGCAGCCTAAAAATTACAATATACGAATAAAAATTTAGTAACATTTAGAAAAATCAGTGCTTATCTACTTGTACACAAAATAGCAATGTAAAAATTTAGATGTTGTAAAGATGGGCACATTTTTTTGGTGGAAACTATTAAAAAATCCAAAGTTAAATAGTTATATAAACAAGATTAGAATCGTTAATAGATATATTAATAATATTGTAACAAATATACAGTTTTCAGAAGTCACGATTTACCACTTGGTACCAAAATCTCTATCATCAGATGCTATGCATTTTCTACGTTATTCTATGGATACAGGCCTGGACACTTTTTGAAATTTCTTTAAACCCTACACTGCTCAATGTATCATATATGAAACATACCGAGAATTTACACGGTAAACACAGTGAAATAAAATTAAATCCAAACAACACTATGTAACATATTCGATATATACCACTCTGTTAGATATATATACATTTTGTAACCTTGAAACGTCGTCTAATATTTTATAAATCGCGCGAATTGGTCAGTTATCACTTACGGTCGTGTTGACGATAACGCTGAGTTTTGAAACATATAGGTGATTATTATTGAAAATTGAGTGTGCAAAATTGTGTTTACTGTTTATTACACATCCACAAGTCATCTATAATAGTATTAGTTTTATCGAGCATCTACCATTATTTTATGAGGTACGGTAAATAATTTGTTTGTATCATTTATGATACAGAATGTAATTTTGATATTATTTTAGATGTCTAACTGGTGTATGAAAAAACCTCTATCAGATAAAGAATTGCAAGAAATAGTCGACAATTGGAATGATAGTGAAGACGATTGTGATGTAAGTGATATTGAGAACTTAAATGATGATGTAGATTTAGAAAATATAGACATATCAAATATTCCAGTGGTATTTGAAGATGAGTTGAATGGGGCAGATCTGGAAAATACAGCAGAAAATGACGGAGAACAAATAGAGAATATCGGAGACATAAGAAATGAATTAGATGAAAACGTTAATGAGACCGAAAACGAATATATTAGGGAAGACTTAGATGAAAATCCTAATGATTTGCATTTATTTAAAGACAAATTCAAAAGTATTTTATGGAAAAAAAAGAAATTTACTGTTAAATGAAGATGTTTTAGCATTCAAAGGTGATTCTTCATTACCTGCATGTGTACAAGAATTGTCTACTCCATTTCAATTTTTTAAATATTTTTTTGACGACAATCTATTGCAAGAGATTGTCAACCAATCTAATTTATACAGTGTTCAAAATAATCCTGCTAAGCCAGCCAACATTGGTACAGATGACATCAGTAAATTTATTGGAATATTGCTCTATATGTCAGTCATCCATTTGCCTAATGCACGTTGCTACTGGTCTAAAAATATTGGAGTGTCCCAAATAAAAGAAACAATGAGCCAACATGCTTTTGATCATGTCAGAAAAGTGATTCATTTTACAGATAACTCAAAAATGAAAGCTAAGGATGATCCACAAGCAGATCGTCTTTATAAATTGAGAAATGTTGTAGAACATTTAAATTTGAAATTTGGGAGTATACCTCATGAACAATATTTATGTGTAGATGAACAACTATGTGCAACTAAGGCCAGGCATTATCTAAAACAATACTTGCCCCTTAAACCACATAAATGGGAATTTAAACTGTTTCAGTTAAGTGGTGTAAGTGGCTTTTCTTATCAATTTGAAATTTACACTGGCCAAGAAAATAGAGCTCGTCTAAATACAGAACCAGATCTGGGGGACTAGTGCCAATGTAGTCGTTAGATTGTGTCGAAATATTCCTAAAAATCAATTCTTCAGGGTTTACTTCGACAACTACTATTCATCAGTTCCCTTAGTAGTATATTTAGCTAACCAAGGCATTTATTCGCTGGGCACTATTAGAAGGAATAGGATTCCAAATTGCAAATTGCCTTCAGATAATGAGATAAAGAAGCAAGAAAGAGGAACATCCTACGAGTATGTATCAAATGCAGAAGGTGTTGATATATCTACCGTTATTTGGAAAGATAACAAAGCTGTTACACTTATATCTAATTTTGCTGGACAGTTGCCTATGCAAGAAGTAGATAGGTTTGACAAAAAAGAAAATAAGAAAATCCAGATATCATGTCCACATCTGGTCAAAGAATATAACAGACACATGGGTGGAGTAGACCTATTAGACAGTCTCATCGGTAGATACAAAATTAAACTCCGTACAAAAAAGTGGTACTTACGAATTTTTTTCCACCTTGTAGATCTCACACTTGTAAATAGTTGGATTCTTTATAAACGAGTATGCAAAGAAAATGGTACCAAGTCTATGCCGTTGGTCAATTTTAGAATTGAGGTAGCTGACTGCCTGTGCAGAGCAGGTATGCAAAATTTATCAAGCAAGCGAGGACGACCATCTACAAGTTCTATTGAACAGGATATACAATTGAAGAAAAAGAAAGGGCCAACAAGTTATATTCCTCCAAAAGATATCCGAACCGATGCTGTAGGACATTGGCCAATCTACACTAGCGATCGAACCCGATGCAAAAAGCCAAATTGTAAAAAATTAACCTATGTTAAATGTGACAAATGTGGTTTGCACTTATGTTTTAATAAGGATTCAAACTGTTTCTTTGACTTCCATCAATAAAAATATTACATTACAAAGGTATTTAAGAATTTTATTTCCTATATATAATTTTCCCCAAATGCACTTTGTATCAAATTTGATACATGACCAAAAATGTCCTGAAATTAAAAAAAAAAACTTTACATTTTTTTAATTATTTTTTCGGACTTCTGTATAAAATAGCTATACATATAATTTTTTCCAATCCAAAATAAAAAATTGAGCATTGTAGGGTTAACAAAGCTCGAGGTCTTCGAGATGTGGTATTACAGACGCATCTTAAGAATTTCTAGGGTGGAACGTGTGACTAATGTTGATGCCCTATATAGAATGGACAAGGAAAGTGAGATTATTAAAACAATCAATGTGTAAAAATTAGAATATATTGGCCATGCTACGAAAAATAAACAGAGATATGGCTTCTTGCAACTCATTGTTCTGGATAAGGTATTTGGAAAGAGAGGACCAGGGAAAAGAAGAATATCTTGGCTTCAAAACCTGAAAACGTGGTTCAATATGTCTACATCCAGACTATTACAAGTGGCTGCAAGCAGTTACTTTTTTTTAAAGAGTTTTCTCTTCCCTTTCTTTTTTTTTTTGACGTTTTGTGTTAATCTTTTTTGTGTTTCTCACCTCTATAAACGACCCCGCCCATAATCTACCAGGACTGAGCAACGGTGCCTTCGAGCATATAGTGCACGAGTATTCTAAGTATAATTATTAGTAATTTAGTTTACCATATATGGTACAATGTATATAATTAAATTTTTTAACCCTATCCATACTTTTAATATAACCAAAAAGCTATACCTGATAATTATGAACTTCAAGACATTTAGACAGCACATTATCAGTGTCGTAGAAACCATGGTAAGTCTCCAAAACGTAGTGAAGTGTTTTATATCCAATTTTTAGGTTAGGTGACTCATATATACTGTCAAGGGAAGACGCATGGTTTTGTTCAGTAGGTACTTCGTTGTTTTCAATATTGCATATCGCATATGGAGCGAAATTTTTAGAAAACAGTAGTTTATGATCGCTAGGATTATACGTTATCGCCAAAGTTGGAAGACCAGGAACTTCTATGGGTAAGCAGTCAGTACTACTTTGGCCCTGGTTGGGAAATTTTATAATCCTTTTGGTGTTTTTGAAAAAAATAACCCTGCTTTCTAGTTTTCGGTTATCATCGTCCATCGGTTTGCCCAAAATAGTCTACAATGTGAAACAAAAGCATAATTAAAATTTAATAACTAGATATAACAGTTTCAATTAATGTTACAATATTTCATTTATAATAAAATATATAATACATACAACCTTTATGAGAGTAGTAGTTTATTTAAAGAGTAATTTAAAGAAGGAATAATTTAGTGAGGAGTAATTTAAGAATCACTCCGTTATTTTATTTTCTAAATAAGTTTGTGACTTTTAAAACACTATCATTAAAATTTATTAAATCGATAATAATCTTTAAGTATTTAAACAATACGTGACAGATTATTATCACAAGCTACGCAGTCTTATAGGACCAATCGAATCACAGTAAGCTTCGAGTCAACCTACCAACGATATTTTCTTTTCTTGCACTTTAACATAATCATAGCGATACTCGCACCTATGTTAAATACTCACGTTTTGAATTTAGTAAATGGTCTACTTTCAACTTATTAAATTTTATTACGGTTAACTTAGAATACTCTCAAAACAAGATGGGGGAAAAATAGTGTAATGTTACGTAAAAGATTATATGAGTCACATTAAAAACCGTAAATATGTTTATTCATTCTCGTAATTTCTAGGTCAAATCTACCTGAGACGGAAGCTATGAAAACAACAAATCGAAACTTCGAGGCGATTCAGGTCAATGGGGTCTACCCTCGAGTAAAAGAAACCAGGTAACTAGAATGCCGTCGGCGGTGACCCTCCGAATTTAGCACAATGCGATTGACTTTTCGAGACCTGCTGAATGAGTCATCGGTGCATCTCCAGACTTTTCAAGATAACGGCATTTTATATATAAATACATGTTATTGAGCGGACAGTTAGTCAGGAAGAAGATAAATTAGAAGCTCGCGAAACGCGGTTTAGATGTACGAAACGTAATAAAATAATTGTACAGTTTTTATTTAATAAATCGATAATTATCGTGAGTTTTAATAAATTAGAATACAGACAATGAATTATATTAAAGACAATAAATTAGAAATATAATAAAATATAACAGTAAGATGGAATATATAAATAGCGATCAATAAATTCTATGAGGAGCGTTTCTAAAGTACCGTGTTGAAATTCGATGTCCCGCGCATGTGCACTGTGTATCTACATATCTTCGCCAGCGACCTTTGAAATACGAAGTTACTCGTGCTTAGTGCTAAAATAACGAAAGCTATTAAAATTCAATCAAATTTGTAAAGTGTACGAAAAAACACTATGAGTGATGGATTGGAATGCAAATGAGTAAGAGCTTCAAAGGTGATCGACGCTTCACTATTTCTTTATTATTGGATCGGTCCTTCAAATTTCGAGAAATGAAATCTACGAAATTCTTACCAAACGCTTGAACTATTGAAAATAGTTACCAAAAACTTAAACTATAGACAATTGTGCTCATGTTGGGATGTTGACCGAGGTGCACAAAAAAAGCGTTAAGCAACGCACTGACTTTTCTTGAGTATTATGATGCTGGAGGTGACGAATGTTTAACTCAGTCAGCAAAACAAAACAACAATCTATGGAATGGAGACGCTCAACATCACCCAAGAGAGTGAAGTTTAAGCTGCAAATTTCAGTAGGAAAAATCATGTGTACCGCATACTGTGGGAGTAAGGGAGCATTAATTGTTGATTTTTCCTCGTAATGACACAATGAATTGCAAATATTGCGAGACATAAAAAAACCACTGCACTTCCAAACAAGTATGACGCTCATCTGCATCCGGCCAAATGAACACATGATCTCATCGTATCAATTGACTGGAAAAAAACCAGCAGCCAGTGACTAACACGTGTTTCTGCATCTGAAGAAGCATATCCGAGATCAGAGCCAAGATGACGACGATAGCCTCAAAACGGTCATATTTCGGTGACTATCAAATATGGCGGGAAACTTATGTGACAATGGAATACAAAAGCTTGGTGATTGATATGCCATAATATTGGTAGAAATTTTGTAGTAGATAAAAGTGTGTGTAGTAGAAGTTCTTGGTTTTTTTTTTATATAAAACAGTACTTATTTAAGAAAACATAATTCTTATTATGAAATCTACCAACTAAAAAGGAACACCTATGACTTATACTTATTCTCTAATATTACTTATTACTGATTGCAACAACTACCTAACGTAAATTACTGATTATATAATAGCAAGTATCTTAATTATTACATACCTGTGCCATTGATGGACTTCCCCAAGCTAACAGTTTTCCGGCATGATCTATTGCCATAGTATATTCTAAGCCACATGAAACATGAACGAATCTCTGAGCAAAGAGACTGCTGACACCATCTTGCTGTTTTAATTTAGGAACACATAATTCTTCTTCTCTATTTTTGCCCCACAAAATCTACAACGATACAAAAATAAAAGTTGTGTGTGTGTGTGTGAGAGAGAGAGAGATGACATTAGACAAAGAATCTTTTTGCCACAGAAAATTGTTATAAGGATGTTTAAATTTTTATTTTAGAATCGTTTATAAACTTGATTAGAATATTATATATAGATTTGTCAGAATAAGATAACAGATTGCTGATGTTAACTGGAAGGCTAATATTGAGATCAATTAAACCTAAATATAGTCTTCGAGTCTGTTCCCTATGATTAGAGCAATCGAAAAATAAGTGATTCAAATCTCCGATAGATTTATTATTACAAGGACAGAAAGGAGTTTCATAGATTCCAATCCTATGCAGATGCTCTGGAAAGAGGCCATGGTTCAGTTTTAGCCGCGTTATTAACGAAGAATGTACTTTATTAAAGTTAAGATTGAAATGGGGAATATTTTTTGGTAAGCATGGGTGAATAGAAAAGTAATGGTTTCTTGAAGTCTTCTGAACCTCTTTATATTTTGACATCCATCTTTCCCTGCCAATACTCCTGATAATAGAAAAAAGATCTTTAAAGTAGTAAAAATTTGTAATTTCGGATATCTCAGATGTATTTTTTGTCCATACTGTCCACCAATTCGTTTCCAATTACTCCATTGTGTCCTTTAACCCAGAGAAAAGTAACTGATTTGTTTGTGAATTTTAGATCATATAATAATTTTTTGATATCAAGTATAATGGAGTTTTGAAAACTGTCTAATGGATGGCTACGAATAGCTTGTAATACTGCCTGAGAATCTGATACTATTACGATGTTCTCACAATAATTAGTGACACACCAAGATAGTGCTTTCTGTATAGCAGCAGCCTCGGCTGTAAAAATAGAACAATATTCAGGAATTCGATATTTCTCAACATAGTTGCTGTTTGAAACAAAAAAAGCGAAACCAGTACTTTCAACAGTTTTTGATCCATCTGTATAAATTATTGTTAAATCTTCCCCTAATTTGCTTAGTATGGATTTGAATATCAGATTAGTTAAAATTGGCAAGTCTGAATAAGAGGGCATTATAATGGTTGGTTTGTCTATCAGAACTTCAAAGTCTTGTACGTAAAAAGGAAATTTTGGTAGCTGTAATATATAAGATTGAAATGAATTCGTATCGATAAAAGATTCTGCAAGAGGAGGAGAATTTTTTATTCTCCAATAAGGATTTGTTAAATTTTCTGTCAAAAGTAAACCTATTTTGTGAACCATAGTTGTATTAAACGATCTGTACGTTATTAGACGTTTGTTGGCTAACATTTGCCTACGTATGAATAAAGGTGGTTCCTGGGCTTCTGCTAGAACTGCTTGGTTTGGTGAAGACATCATAGCTCCTAGACAAATTTTTATTGATTTAAATTGTATTCTGTCAAGAGTTAATAGATTTGTTTTGCATGTTGAACCGTAAAGAATACAACCGTAATCCAAAATGGATCGTATGTAGGATCTATAAAACATTAAAGAGATATTTTGATCTGCACCCCATCTTTTTTTAGAAACGAAACGCAGAAGGTTAATTCCACGCTCGCACTTTTGTTTTACGTACTTTACATGACTAGACCACAAGAGCTTTTTATCTAGGATCATGCCTAGATACTTATACTCTTCTGCTAAGTGGAAATTATAATCACCTATCTGGCATTTGCCTGTGACTTTTTGTCTACGTCTAGTGAAACATACAATCGAAGATTTTTCTTGTGATATACTAAAACCCATTTGTTTCACCCACTTATCTATATTACTAAAGCTAAGTTTTAGATTCAACATACAATCTTCATAGGATTTATGGCTGGTATATAAACATATATCATCTGCATATTGAATTATTTTGCATTTTTCATCCATCAAACCATGCAGATCTGCAGTATAAACATTAAACAATAAAGGACTTAGAATTGAGCCTTGTGGGAGACCGTTATATAATATTCTTGGACCGTGTAATACATTTCTATGGTCCCGTAAGTATATTTTTCTATTCACATACAAATTTATTATATTTACAGATAATCTTTTATCAATACCGCATGCCACCATTTTTGAATATAATATATCCAAATCAACCACGTCATATGCACCCTTTAAATCTAGAAACAAACATAGCATGAATTCGTTTTTTGAGAAACAGAGTTGAATATCCGTAACTAAATGTACGAGAGCATCAATGGTACCTCGACCTCTACGAAATCCATACTGTGAGTAGGGAAAAACTGAACTGCTTTCAATAAAATGTTCTAATCTAAATTTTATAAGCCTTTCAAAGGATTTTGTCACACATGATAATAAAGAAATGGGTCTATAAGATGAAGGAAGTTCTGGGTTTAAGTTAAATTTGAGTAAAGGGCATATGATAATATTTTTTAAAGTATCGCTATATTCTTGTTTCAACCACCAACTATTAAATATTTGTAAGAGAACATCTTTGGCATTTGACGGCAATTTGTCCAATATCTTATAAGTAAAACCGTCCAAGCCGGGGGCTGTATTTCTGCTTTTTTTTAGTGCGAAATCTAGTTCTGAAGGAGTAAAAGGTTTTGACATGGAATCTATACTAGTGTTAAAGCGAAAAACTTCTTTAATCCTACCAACATTACCAGAGGCAGATGAAGGTGCAAGTTGGTCTAACATCTGTTTAATGAGATTTTCAGAAAGTTGAGGTTTTTTAAAAATAAAATAAACAAAAATAAAAGTTAAAACTGTTAAAAAAACGCTACGTTAGTTACAAGATATAAAGGTCGCAAAAAAACTAAAAAAAAAATATCTTTAGTCGAAGTTTATAAGGGTTTGGTTCATTTACATTTTCTTAACATTTCAATAAGATGAAAATGAGAGTAGTATACCGCTGAGTATAGTAAATTAAAGATTCACCTTTCCGTTATGAAGGACCACCGAATGTCTGTAACCAACAGCAACCTGTTCGATAGGTTTCTTGTTAAAACCAGAATATATGTGCGTGCTAGCTTTCCAGGATTCTGACGGTTTTGAAGATACGCAGTTTTGCTTTTGGTTGTTTTTAGACTGAAGTATTCGAACTTCTTGTGGGCTCGCTCCCCAAGTATGCACCTCTTGATCTTTAAGTACGGCAATCTAAAAAATATTCCAATTTAATAAAACTTAATATTTCGTAAAATTAAATATTTTTTTAAATAAGCATTTCTTTATCAAAATAATAATTATTCACCAAGAAAACAATTAAATAAATCACAATTTAATTAAAAAAATTCGAATCGAAACATTAAATTTGCGCCAAATTACATATCTTGTATGCTCCTTCACTACTGTGACATCTTACAATCTTCTGTCTTTGATTATTTTTAGTAGTTACATAACATGAGCATCTCATTTTAAATTAAATCAGACAGTTTTATACCCTTTCAGTGTTAGTAATATTATAATTAATTTAATATAATTAAACAATTTCATTTAATTTAACAATATTATCACAATCATACATTTAATTGATATACTGTCACTTCAGGAAACTTTTCTAATGTACGGACCTTACGTGATATGGAGTGTAAAACATCTGTTTAAAAAGAGGGAGGTATATTAGGTCCGCCATTTATATTGTCGAAAATACATTAGTGCAGCGGTTCTTAATCTTTTTTGGTGACGGAACCCTTTTGGAAAGCGAAATACTTGACGGAACCTTACAATAAAACAGTAGTTTTTAAAAGTGTATTCTGTATTAATAAGCATACTAAAAGTACAATGTTACATAACAAGTATAATAATGGAAGATATTAAATATAAAACTCTAACTAATGGGAGGTATGAAACTGTTTTCTATTTTTCATCAATTGGTTGATATCAGGTTTGATAGAGGACATTTGAAGTCTCATAAATGGTTCGGCGTCCAGTCTATTGTGGTATTTTGTTTTCGTGGCTGCATATGTTGAGAATCTGGCTTCGCAAAAATATGTTGTTGGGAACAAAAGAAGAATTTTCAGAGCCATTTTGGCAAGCATTGGATATTCATCACGGACTCTGCACCAAAAATCGTTAAGAGGCGTCGTTTTAAACAGTGACTCCATACATGTGCCTGATGACATTTCTAAAAGAGATTCGTATATCTCGTTTGACATACTTTGACATTGTAAATCCATGAATTCAGTTTTATTTTTGTGTTCTGTTATGTTCTTCTGGAACATACTTCTCAAAAGATGCACGCATCGAAATGAGATATTTGATCAATTCTTCAAATACATCATCTTGGAACATTTCGTCGTTATCGATAAAAAACTCAATGAGTTTCTTTTGAAGGCAGTTATTTTGTTACAGGCCTGAAACACTGTTGTCCGTTTGTAACATAAGAAACACTTGTAACTCGGATCTAAGTTCAAATAGCCTTGTTAAAGTTTTACCCCGAGACAGCCATCGCACTTCTGTATGGAGCAGCAGGGTTTTATGTTTGCTGCCATAATCTTCACAGAATAATGAGAACAATCGAGATTTTATCGTGATTTGATAAAATTAATTATTTTTACCGCTTTACCCATAACCAATTTTAGATTTGACGGCATTTGCTTCATCGCAAGTGCTTGTCTAAGCAGGATACAATGGCTGGAACTACAATTAGTAGCTTTATTTTTTATTCGTGACACTAGTCCTGCTGTATTACCTGTCATCGACTTGGCCCCATCTGTACAAATGTCAATGCAATCGTTCCAACTTAGATTATTATCCTCAAAGAATATATTTATTTTATTAAAAATTTCCTCTCCGGTTGTGTTTGTGGGCAGCGGTGAACACAAAGGCATGTCTTGTTCAAAAGAACTTTTATATGGATATCTCACGATAACCAGCAAGATAGCTAGACTAGCGACATCAGTAGACTCATCTATTTTCAATGCGAATCGTGTTTTTTGTAGACGTGTAACTAGTTCTTGTTTGGTGTAGCTTGTCAGATCATGAATTTGCCGTGAAACAGTATCGTTAAAAAGCGGCACAGTAGAAAGCTGCTTTCCAGATTTTTCATCGAGCATACATTTTGTTATGTCAAACACACATGGTTTTATTAAATTCTCAGCGATAGTGTGCGCTTCACCTGCTTGTGCAATGCGATAGCTAACTAAATATGATGCCTCTGTGGCTTTTTCATTGATAGTTTGAGTTACATGCATTATAGTTTTTTGAGTTTCCAATAACTGTTCTTTTTTACGTAGAAAAAATTTTTTATTCTTACCTTTAGACTCGGGGTGTACAGTTTCTAAATGTCGGCGCAACTTGGTAGGTACCTTGGAACTATTAGGAAACAGTTTACTACATAGGATGCACAGACGTGAGCCGTTGCAATCAACAAATCCGAAACTGATATATGATTCATCATACGTCCTTTTTTTTACCTTTGAAATCGTGGAACTTGACGTCGTTGCATAATCGTCTTGATCGGTAATTGACGAATACTCTGCGCTTACTGCTTCCGAACATTCGCCTTCTGTAGAAGATGTTGCATTACGTTAAACGACTTTAAGCTAATGTTCCATTCTTCCAATCGTGCTACGCCGCATCAGAAAAGTCGACCAGAGAGACGTGTTTTGAATTTTTTTTCTAAATTCTCGCGGAACCCCTACAGGGGTATCGCGGAACCCTAGGGTTCCGCGGAACACACTTTGAGTATCGCTGCATTAGTGGAAATAATAAATTCAACAGAAGAGGGGAAGTTCAACGTTGCCAAACATATTGGTTTTATTTAACCTGTTGTCTTTTTAGCAGTTGAACAATGTTCTAAGATAATCAAAGACAGTACTACTAAAGCATTAGGAAGGAGTAGGTGTATTATATTAAATTTAAACTGGACGAAAAATTACGTCTTTTAATTAAAAATAAGATATTATTTGGTAGTTCTATATAAATAAAACAAAAAGGGATAAAATTGGTACAAAAGTATAAAATTTATTCTATAAAAATGAAATCAAATAAATAATATTTTCAACAGTACTGTTTAAATTAAAAATAATTCCAAACAATTAGAAATTCTAAACCAAATAAAATTCTTAGGTAATTAAATGTTCGAACAGACCACCAAATTGTAACGAACAGTAACCAAATCTATTATACAACGCATTTCTCATGGCGTTGAGTTCATCTGCAGATATGTTTTGGCCAAGTTGGATTATATTTTCCTTCAGTTCCTCCAAGTTGGTGTCTCGCTCGAACTCATACCTGTACAATTTCGTTTTTTGCATCCTTCAAGATTAAAAATCTAGAGGAGCTAAGTCGGGTGACTGAGGGGGTCATTTTATTGGACCGTCTCTAACGTTTCTCAGATAAAATAAAACAAGTATGGACTAAACATACTGAAGATATTTTCATTGTCACAATGACGGAACCGACACAAATAGATAGCGGAGAAGGCCCAATATTATGTTATACAATCTGAAGTACAATATGCTATAAAGAATTAAAAATCTGACAGAGTCACTGGGTCAGATAAGTTCATCTCGAGCTGACTAACCTTATATATAAGGAAAATTTAAACGCAACAACTATGCTCTTTAACAAAAATGATACCTTTAACAATTATATCTACAGTTCTGCTACAAAAAACCAAGAACCCCAAACACACCCCAAACACTGTAATTACTACAGATTAATTAATTTAATGAAAACGTTCATTAAATTAATCAACGTAAAAGATCTTTTACGTTGCTTTGATAAATTATAAGAATGCTTTCAAAAAAGTTAACTACTTTCACCATTACTATTTAATATATCCTTAATAACTCCGAAGAGTTATTTATACAAACTTTTGAAAACTGTAGAGAAGGGATTAAAATAAATAGTGAACATTATCGCTGAAAATGAGAAAGACCTGCAGACGCTACTAAATACAAGTTGCGATACTTGGAAACATTTTGGTTAAATTAACAATAAATGCAAAGAAAACAAAAACGAGGTCCTGTTAGAAGACAAATATTCTGGCTGAAAAATATTCGCGACTGGATCGGTTAAACCCACAGCTTTCTGCTGATGGATTAAATAAATGATACCAATGAAACAATCCCGAAGGAAAGTCTCTTTGAAAAAAATAAAAATAGCTTAACTAACATTTAGCAGTAATTAACACCTTCTTCTTTTTCAGGTTCCTTCTCCTATCGGAGGTTGGAAATCATTATCGCTATTTTAATTTTATTGGCCGCGCTTCTGAATAATTCTAATGACCTGCAACCGAACCACTCTCTCAAATTTCCCAGGACATTTTGCGTCGTCCTGGGTTTCTCTTCTCTTGCATAATTAACACAGTTAACACTTTACAGATACGCTACTAAAACTAAACAATCCCTTTTTCACTTCACGGAATTTCACCAAAATTGAAGTTTACCGTAAGAAGTAATTCTTATGACTATAGAATTTGACAAAATTTTTTCAGATAAAAGAAACGCTGGCGGTAAAAATATTAGCCCAAACCAAAAAAGAGTTTTATTAGACTTTGGTAGATAATCTCATGCCGATTTGGCAGTAGAGAAAGTTTTCTGTTCTGTGTAATAGACAGCACAGACAAGAGTTAACCAATTGAGAAATCATTGGTTTGTATTGCTTTACCTCCTTCAAACGTCTTCTGAGTTCTGTTCTAATGGCTTACAATTATATTACTATAAAGAAAAACCCTTTAAGAAATTCAAAACAAACAATATAGCGTATACCTACGTTATGGAAATAAGCGGAAGCAACCTTTTCAATTGGCGTATGATTATCTGTAGGAACTAATACCCAAACGGGCTTCACAGACTTGCTTTCTTCTATATTGCTGCCTTCGAGTTGTCCAAATACGTTTGAACCAAAACCAAATAATTTACCATCAACAGTTAAAATAAGCGTATGCGCATGCCCAGCAGTTACCTAAAAATAGAGAATACATTTTATAGGGTATTGACACATGGTATAGAATACAGACCAAAAAGATAAAAGGATATACATATATACATATAATTTGTCATAATTTTTCAGGTGAAATATATTCAACGTTTACCTGCTTAACATTTTCTGGAAAATCCAAAAGCTTCGGATGAAATTCGTTATCACAGTTACCATGTCCTAATTGCCCATGAATTCCCCATCCCCACGTATATACTTTACCATCAGCAGTGACTGCAACACTGTGGTACTGTCCAGCACATAAATCTATAATTTTCTGAGACGAAAGACAGTTTATCATTTGCGGGTAAGGACTTTCTTGAACGGAATGCCCTAAACCTAGCTGGCCATATGTGTTGGAGCCCCATGAGTATACCTGAAAAAAAAAAATGCATTAGTAAAATTTTAAAACGTTTCTATTCAACATCTATCCAAACGACCACAATGAATCATGAAGCAAAATAATTCCGATATGCAGAGGACATAGTCATCGCTGTACAAGGAAGATCACTTGTAAAGGTGGAGGGCAAAATTTTAAGATTACTAGATAAACTAAAAGTTTACTATGAACGAAACCACCTAAAGCAAGAGATGGTTTCAAAAAGCCGTCAAAAATACATGTATTTTTAAATATTATATTATATATTATATATTAAATCCATTTAAATAATAAAGAAATTGACAAAAAGCTTAAAGTTGTGTGATAGAGTCAGAAATTAGAGCACTACCCAACCCCAAATTACCTAGGCGTTACCCGTGACAGATCTATCACATACAAACACTGTCAGAACACAAAGATGAAAGTTACATCAAGAAAAAATACAAGACACTGCTTTAAGTGAGACGGGTCGAATCATTAAAGGGTGCCTAGACCTTCCTCAGTCCCTAAAACTTACTCCATCGCAGGAATAGTTCGACCTAAGGCCAGAAGAGCTGTACCACAGACGCCAAAAAAGACAAAGAAGTCAAAGATCACCGTCACACTCTACATTAGCACGCCGAACAACTTACCCGACTGAAGCCGTAGCTTCTTTCGTCACACAAAACCGTTGGAAACCTCACCAAGCAAACGGAAGAGAAAACTTTGAAACCGGCACGATCAACAACCTGTACTCGACCATATGCAGAAACTACCTGCCGGATCAAACTTACCTTTCTCTATATGGAAACCTCTAAACCGACTATGGAGTTGAGTGACCCGCTGCAAGTACAACCTGAAAAAGTATGGCTACGCTGAAGATACCTGTACAAATTAATGATCATCGGTAGGTGTGCGAACAGGTTTGACAAACCTTTACCCAAAAAGATCTAAAGCAAATCAACTAAAGAGTCCTGGATGTCGTAAACCACTGGAAGCCTACAATTTGACTGAAACTGAAGAAGAGACGGAAAGTAAATAATAAGTTTGTTTTAAAACCGATTTACTATTTAACAACATTGTATATTTCGTCAAAACTATGTCATGTAGTTTAAGTCGCCCTTATACTATTATAAAGAGTATATTTTTTAACTTTATGTTTTATTAAAATACATGACCCCACATTTTATTGGGATATTCTGTATATTTTAAAATGTAGCCCGTTAACACTGTCAAAGTAACTCAAGTAACACCGGTCATATAGCACGAATGAAAGAGTAGGGTTAGAAGATGATGCCATACCAAGATGATGATGCCATAGAAGATGAGTCCACTACAAGGACTCGGATACAAGTTAGAAATTTTGAAGAATTTGAATTACGATTAGCATTTTGGAATATTAAACCGTAGATAAAAAGATTAAGAGATACTGATAGAAATGACCGTACACAAAATCGATACATGCGCAGTCTCCGAAACTAGGAAAAATGGAGAAGAAGCATCAAAATAACACAATCTCTTACACATTTACAGCGAAAAAGACAAAGCAGATTATCCCAGCTCAGGACTTGACACAGAGAAAGAAAAAAATAGTAGTTCTTACAATCTAAACCCAAGAGTAGAAAATAACAGAATACACACCATAAAACAGCGATTTCATGAAGTAATATCTCGACGTCCTAAAAATGGCGATTAGTTCCAGTCTGACAACTACAGAGGTATAACCCTGTTAACAACTGCTTGCAAAATACTAGCAAATATTCTGTACGAAAGGCTTTAAGTTTATATACGGTATGTATAGTTGGAAAATACCAGGCCGGATTTACTTCAGAGAGCTCAACAATTGACCAGATTCTTCAATAAGATAGAATGTCAAGAGAACAGTACTATACCAATCCAGGCGTGAGTTTGATATACCAAAAAAACTTATCCGACTAACGAGAATAACAATGTCTACCATAACAGCTAGTGTTAGGATGCAGGAAGAGAATTCTCGTTCCTTTTAGGTAAAAGACGGACTGAAAAAGAGACAAGGGGATGGCCTGGATTGCCTCCTATTTAACGTTCCCATGGAAAAGGCAGTCGGAGACACACGAATTAGACACAGCGTACTATTTACAATAGGTCGATACAAATCTTAGCACACGCTGATGACATTGACATTATAGAGCGTACTAAGCGAGATGTTAAGCAATATTTCCTAGAATTGGAAACGGCGGCGAAACAGGTTGGTCTAGTCATCAACGAACACAAAACCAAGTAGGTACATGTTGGTTACTAAGGATCCTATAGCAAATGAGGAACGGGAAATAATATTTTAAGTCATATCTTTGAATGTGTTGACAGCTTCACATATCTTGGCTCGCTAGTGACTACTACCAACAAAACAAGCAAAGAAATTAAAAACGAATAAACCTTACAAACATGGCATACTATGGACTCCAAAAACAATTCCAATATAATCCAATAACATTATTATATCAAGGACACTAAGGTAGGTCCACATATATGAGGCGGAGAAATTGACTCTAACGCAGTAGAATGAAAGATTTTTGGGAATATTCGAGCGTAAAATACTCCGCAGAATATTTGGTGCTAGAAACAACCAAGGGCATTAGCGCAAAAGATGTTATTTCGAATTATACCAACTCTTTAATGAACCAATGTAACCTTCATTAAAACACAGCGAATTAGATGGACTGGACACATAATAGGAATGCCAGACAATACGATTGCCAAAAAGCTAACGATAGGAACACCTATAGGAAGAAGAAGCAGAGGCCGACGGCGAATTAGGTGGTCAGATGAAGTTAATTGATGTAAGCCGCTACTAACAGACAAACTAAACTAGTGACACAATTTTTAAATCTTTGACCGTTTGGTTGTAAACCATCATCTTGTTGTGACTCATCGTGTATAATAGAATTCTAGTTCCGAATAAACAGAGTTTAACTTCATTTCCTATTTTTGGCGCCAATTACTGTAATTATGAAAATGACCATCACCAGACCATTAAAATCAATCAAAAATACCTGTAATCTAACCATTACTTGTTTGGTAAACAATAAAGTCCCATAATTTACATAAAAATCTTTTGCTTCCTATTTTAAATTCAAAAGATTAAATGTATGCGATATGGGGATATTTAATACTATACAATTAGTTCAAGATCTATTCAACTAGTTATTGATTACTATTCAATTAGTTCATTTTTGTTACCATAAAAAGGATCCGATTTTATATTGTAGTGTGTTGTATACCGCAGTCATGCCAAAAATGAAGTACCTCTTTTTATTATTGTGTTTATTTATCCTTCACCAATATGTAGCAGCATATGTAAGTAAACAGCAATAACTACTTGAATATTCAATATTTTCAATAAAATAATAAGTGGTCATAAATTTCAAATATTATCACGATTCGCACTTAAATGGCAGCATCAAAAATATTTATTAGGTTTGTGGAAATCTCTTTTGGTAAAAACAATATTTTTCTTCTAATGTTCTCTCAGAGAAACTCATTACATAGCTCGTTCGATCGCCCTTTGTGTTGTTCATAACCTATTGGCTGATAACGCTGTAAGTGTCACGGTCTCCATTCCATAGGTCATATGGTAGAATACAACTTTTGAATACCCTTTTTTTTAGATGTATTGGTATCTTTCTGTTTTTAAATATAACACTAAGTCTTCCTACTGCTGCCCAAGTCATTCGGATTCTTCTAGTTATCTCTGCCGTTTAATTCTATTTGCCTAGTTTAATCGTATGACCTAGGTATGTAGGCTCTTCGACATATTCGATCTCACTTCCATCTAAGTCTATTGTTATATTTTGGTTGGCCATAACTGATGTTTTATTTAAATTCATTCTGATTTTCGTAGATTCTTGTTTAAGTTCCTTTAGCATGTAGAGTATTTCCTCTGTATTGTTGCTTATAAGTACTATGTCAGCGGTAAATATTAGATGACTTAAAAATCTGCCATCGATTTTAACTCTGCATTGTTCCCAATTTAACTTCTTGAACACATCTAATGCAAGAGTAAATAATTTTGGAGACATAGTGTCTCCCTGTCCAACTCCCCTTTTCGATAAATTTGCTTGTTGTTAGATCTTCTGCTACGTTAATTTTCATAGTTGCATTGCCGTACATGTATTCCAGGAGTATTATATATATTAAATCAATCCTTGCGTTATTCACTCCTTCTAATACGGCCCAGAGTTCTATGGAATCGAAGAATGCCTTATTGCAATCCACAAATGCCACATGAAGAGGTTTATTGTATTCGTTAAACTTGTCGATGTCCGTATTGTCTGTAGGTGTTCTATGGTACTATAACTTTTGCGCAATCCTGATTGTTCAACAGGCTGTTACAGTAGTATGTATTAATCGGTTTTCAGCACATCGACTGCTTTTTCCAAATCTATGATATCGGTAAAAAAATGTGTACGTTATGTATGTTCGCCTGATAAACAACTTGAGATAAAAGTTTAAGAGAAAGACACACGAGATATCAAAGATATAGGTCCATAATTCTGCTTCTTTCTATTCTTGTTTTCTTCTTGTTGTAGTGTCTATCCGTTTTGGATGTTGGCGACCATCATCGTAATCTGTATTTTGCAAACTGCTGCTCTAAAAAGGTTTGTGGTTGTTGTGTTGAACCACGTATGTAGATTTTTCAGCCAGGAAATCCTTCGCCTTCCCGGTCCTCCTTTTCCTTCTACTTTTCCTTGTAAAATTAATTGCAGCAACCCATATCTTTCGATGTTCCTCATGATGTGACCGAGTTATTCGGTTTTGGCTGTTTTTATTGTGGTAAACAACTCTTTTCCTTTTTGCATTCTTAATAAAACGTCCTGGTTAGTAACGTGGTCGGTATAGAATATCTTCATGATTTGACGATAAAGCCACATTTCGAAAGCCTCAATTTTTTTGCTGGTAGCGTCTGTGAGAGTCCACGACCCAACTCTGTACAACAGTATGGAAAGAAAGATATAACATAGTAGTAACCTTATTTTTATGGGTACCGATAAATCATAGCATTTGAATAGCTTATACATTTTTTGAAATGCAGATCTTGCTTTTTCTATCCTACATTTGATTTCTAGGGAATGGTTCCAATTTTCATTGACGTTGGTACCAAAGTAGGTGTATGTTTTTACTATTTCTATTGGTTGGCCATTCACATTGATTATTTCAATTTCTGATTATTTCCTTTTTAGAGATACATTTTGTTTTCTTAATGTTCAGTGAAAGTCCATATATCTGACTCACTTCTCTGATTCTATTCGTTAACTCCTGACGGGCTTTATAACTGTTAGCGAATACCACCGTATCATCCGCGTATCTGATGTTATTGATACGTTCTCCGTTAATTCGAATTCCGGCTTCAACATCCTCTATTGCTTCTTGAAAGATTTTAATAACGTTTGTATTTTACCAATGTACTTTATTTCTTGCTTCGACATCTTTGAACATTTTCCGTATAGTGCTTTTAACAATTAGCTCTTTTGTTACCCGGGTTCCTAAGTGGCACTGAATGTATCGAGGAGTACAGATTCTTGTAGAAGTACTCTACAAGTCGTAATATTTCCGCGCTGCCTTTTATAATAGTGTTACCCTCATCCACAAGATATTTCTTTATATCTGTATTAACTGTTTGTTTGAATATTTTGGATCCTTTAAGCCTCTATATTTTCCGTTCTTACATTTTTAATAACTTTCCTTCTTATTACTTTGTTAATTTTCTTTTATTCTTCTCTTTTTAAAATTATCTATATATTGACAATATCTACTTATCAACCATATTTCTTTATTTTGACACCCACTTTCATAAATCTCACCAGGTGCTTTTATGTGTTCTTCTTCTTTTGGCATCAAAGGACCTGCAAGGGTCTTTGTCTGTCGGGTATGTCGTTTCATTCTGACTTCTCTTGTGTCCTTCTCCTCCATTGTCTTAGGTTCATAGTTTTCAGGTGGTCTTCCACGTCATCCAACCATTTCGTTTTGGGTCTTCCTTTCCTTCGTTTTCTCTATCGGCTTCCATCGCAACATGTTGTTATGTTCCAGCCGTGACAGCCTCTCACTTTTTACAAATCGTAAAATATCCTGCCTTTAATTCAACTCATAAATTTCGTATTTTCTTCTGATTCTCCAAATGCCGTCCTCCTCTTCGACCAGGTCATATACTTTTATTATTATCTTTTTATCGAAGGCCTTGAGTTACTATTCTTACATCTATAGGTTATGAGTCTAATTAATGTGCTGAAAATAGTTAGATTGGTTATTTAGTCTAATAGATTCGATGCCTTCCTTTTGACTATCATGTACTTGGTTTTTGTTTCACTTATTTGAAGCCGCATTTTTCATGCTTCGAGATCAATTTCTCTGAATACTTCCATTTGTAGAAGCTTGCTCCTGATAATCTGCAGGTAATACATCATCTGTAATTGAGATAATTTGTACCGATTTGGTATTTATCTGGTTGGTTACATTGGTTTTTCTGATGACCGCCTCCAGAACTAGATTGAACAGCACGGTTGATAGTGAGTCTTCCTATCCCGCTCCTACGTACATATCAAAAAGTTCCTTTTATTTTTATATACTTCCTATCACTGTTTTACATTTAGTAATTTGAGTATTATTTTTCTCATGCAGTATGCCAATTATGAAGTAATGTATTTCTTTATTTTAGATGACAGAAAAGCAAATTGAAGCCACAAAGAAATTAATCAGAAATACGTGCACAAATAAACAAGGTGCCGCTAAAGGTATTGAATGTATATATTTTAGATTAAATCTTATCTTACATTAAAAACGAGAACATACTACACTGAATATATAGTGCGCATCTAAAATGTATGAACCTCTGAGTTCTTTCTAACCATTGCCACTCTCTAATATATCGGTTTGAATATAAAACTTCATAAAGTGTCAGGTCAAAGTTTTCTGTTGATCAGAGCAAAAAATTATGTTCTCGTTGGTGATCCACCCTCTAACTATTCGAGTAGTATGACCTGATAAATTATCGTGTAATATACTGTAATTATAAATACCAAACTGATTTTTTACATCTGCACTCTCTACAGATGACGGTACAGCCCAAGACGGAACCTGGCCTCCCCCAGCATCTGTCTCCAAGATCCCTTTCCTCGGTTTTCTCCTCTAATTATCCATCCTCAATATTTCTATAGCATCGGTTCTCACTTCGTGTATCCATCTCTTCTTCGGTCTTTCTACTAGTCGACGTCCTACCATAGGTCCACTAAGCGTTCTACTATGTGTTCTGATATTATTCATTCTTATAAAGTGATCTACCAAGCGAAATTTTTGTATTTTTGCATAGTATGTTAGAGAGGATTCGTTGTAAAATTAATATAAGGTTGAACCTTATTCTCCTCATACCAATTCTCAAATGGGTCATAATATCTTTCAAAAGGTAAGGTTTATTATTTTTTCTGCCATGATCCATATTTTTCAGCTATAGGTCGTATTCTGGTTTTATAAATTTTGAACTTTACTTCGCTATGGGGGTCTTTGAATCCCAACACTTACGACAAAGAGAAGTATACTCTGTTAACAATCATTATCATTCTCCGTATTTCCTTTCCTTCGCTGCCATTCTACAATTTTTTACATAAATGCTTCACCGCTACAGCTTCTCTTACTGATGATAACATGATGTTATCTTCTTCTTCTTTGGGTGCCGTGTCCGTATTCAGACGTTGGCCGTCATCATGTTTACAATTTCCTGAAACCTTTCACTGTCGGCTGCTGCGCGAAATAATTCTTCTACTGTGGAACCACACCATTGTCTAATATTACGCAGCCATGAAAGTTTCTTTCGACCAATCCATCTCTTTCCTTCCACTTTTTCTTGTATTATAAGGCGAAGTAAGATTCCTCTAATTATATGGCCGAAGTATTCTGTTTTCTCATCTTTATGGTGTTTATGAGCAGACGTTCTGAATTGATCATTTGAAGAACATCTTCATTGGAAGTGTGCGAAACCCACGATATCTTTAGGATTCGTCTATAGCACCACAATTCGAATGCTTCTAACTTGTTTAGCATTGTGGTTTGTAACGTCCATGTCTCACAACCATACAATAGGATGGACCACACATAACATTTCAGGACCTTCTTACGAATATTCATCGACAGGTTTCTGTTGCATAAAACTGGTTTCCACGTCATAAAAGCCTTACGTGATATTTCGATCCTGGTTATTATCTCTTCATCAGAGACACAATTTACATTTAACCAGCTGCCAAGTTATTTGAAATGATTTACCCTTTCGATCTCCTTCCCATTAAGAGAAATCAGACCTTGATCTATATTGATCTTTCCAACTGCCATCCACTTTGTCTTTAAAATGTTGATTTTAAGGCCTCTTCGATAACTTGCTTCACCTACTAGAGTTAGTAATGTTTGGAGATGTTGTAAATTTTCTGCAAGAATGGCTGTATCGTCAGCGTATCTAATATTGTTGATTACTTCTCCACCTAGTCTTACTCCCTCTTGTCTGTCATCCAAAGCCTCCCTAAAGATTTCTTCAGAGTACAGATTATATGAAATGTTCATGTTATATAAAATTCAGCGGTTATTCGTCCATAAATTTGCCAACACATTCCAGTACTGTTAATGCTTGTTTACGTACAAACTTAAGAATGTGCTGGCATCGAAAAGGAATATTGCGAAATTTTAATACAAAAACTGTTGCTTAAAACATTTAATTTTTTATATATTTTTTTAAATAATTGTTAGTTCTTTAATTTAAAATAAAGTTTTTGTCATTAAAACTTAACTTTTTTTCTGAATTTAAGAATTTCATACTTTATCCGTAGAAAATCACTTCGAAAATTCAGAAAACGTTATGCTTGGCGGTTATGCTCCACCTTCCCCATTAATTCTGTTTGAATCTTGAGTTTCTAGGACGATACATTTTTAATCTTCCATTTTTAGAAGATTGTGATGGTCTTTTTCGTTATTTCTTCTCGTTTTCACGATTTCAAAACACCTTCTACGAGATCAGTATCTTCATTTTCATCAGGAACTTAGTTTAAACTTTTACTGAAAACTCCTTTCAAGCTTGGTAGTCCTTGTTAGCATTTCTTATCATTAAAATATGTAACTTTTACTGACACTTAATTCAGTAGCCATTTGATTTAAAGACCAATTTTCTTCCAATTTGACAATAGTTTTAAAAAGCTGTCAAATTGAATGCGATGAACTATACTAAATACTCACTATTTGGAAGAGTGATTCATCGTTTAAACGCCAAATATTCTCAAATTTAAATGTACACAGCGGACCTCGAAAACTACCCGTTTTCTCAATTGCAATTTGCGTTTTCTCATAAGAAATTACAGAATATATAAGTAGTATATTTATTTGTGCTTCTCTATAGAAGAGTTGACCAGGAGTTGTCGTACAGGGTAGCCAATTCTTGTTCAAAAGTAGTAATTATGGTCATACAAAACCTGTATTCTTCCACGCAGCGTTTATTACCGTCATAAAAATACAAAAAAAAACATGATTTTTTCAATAGTAAAAATTAAGCACAAAATTGTAATGAAACAAGGAAATTTTATTTATATGTTCCGTTCCGTTTCGTTACATATTTAAATTTATAAAATAATAATTGATATTTTAAAATATTATTTTTCAATGGTTTGGCAACTTTGGAAATAGCGACGGAGTAATTCCGACCCACAGATAGCCGTAAAACTCGTTTTTGCCGAGAAAGTGCCGACGTCTTTCCCCAGTTCTCCGCCTTTAAACGATGAATCACTCTTCCAAATAGTGGAATTAGAGTTTACAATGATATAAAGCCTAAATCACAACATTACATTTTGGCGTTGACATTTCTGTTTCCACTGGTGTACGAGTAAACAAACACGAATAGAGGCACAAGAATAGAATATGAAAAAACTTTTTTTTTCATATTTTATATAGGATAATTATTTATTATGATAGTTTATTTTATATAGGATATTTGAAAAAACTGTAGTATTTGTTTTTACCTAACATTATTCTAAAATTGTATTATTTTAGAAAAAGTTGACGGAATGCAAAAAGGAGATTTTGATTTTAATGATAAAAATTCAATGGTAAGGAACTTTTACTGAGTATAAATGAATATTTTAAGAAGATTTATTTTTTAGTGTTATTTGCATTGCGTACTGATGACTTATAAGTTGGTAAGTTTTAAAATAATTTTTAAATTATCAATGTTCACTTGAATTACTAATTGATGATTGATTGTTTACATTATATTTCAACATATTTTATGGGATCTCATAATATCATCATCATCTTTGGCTCGACAATCCTCTGTGGATCTTGGCCTGCTCTAAGATTCGTCGCCATTCTGTTCGGTTTTTGGTGCCATCTTCTGATTTTTAATATTCGTAAGTCGGTTTCTACTCCATCTAACCACCTAATTCGCGGTCGGCCTTTGCTTCTTTTTCCTACAGGTGTTCCTGTGGTTAGCTTTTTAGCAATGGTATTTTCTGGCATTCGTATTATGTGTCCAGCCCATCTAAGTCGCTGTGTTTTAATGAACGTTATGACATCTGGCTCATCAAAGAGTGGATACAATTCAAAATTATATCTTCTGCGCCACTGCCCTTGGTCGTTTACAGCTCCAAATATTTTGCGGCTTACTCCCCGTGTTATTTTCGTCTTAACCTTCATCGTCTATTCTTATATTTGCTAGTTTATTCCAATATAAATTCAGGATTATACTCAGATCTTTATCATCTATGCCTTTGCTCTCAATAATATCTTCATTAGCGAATGTAAATCATGGCGTACTTGTCAAAAGCCTTTTCGAAATCTACGAAACAGACGTGTATTTTTTGATTGATGTCCAAGCATCGTTGGAGATCAATCATCAATCAAACACCAAATACACATACTCGCCTACATCAAGCTCAGTCGGCAGATCCCTAGACATACGGTGAGAATTATACTGTAACTAATGCTCACGCAATTCCTAGATGTAACACATAAACACGGAGACAAAAAGAAAATATAACCCAGCGTAATACTTAACAATGAGTAACTCTTTGTAGTCCACAAATAAAAATATAAAGAGAACGAGCAGAGATGCGATCTCGGTCGCAGACTATGTCCCTGCTACAAATAGGTTACTATGTCCCGAAACACGGCCCTAAAGATGAACCTTCTGCACAATAAAACAGCTTACATAATTAACAGAAAATACATTTTGAGTCATTTATGTGTAGAACGAACAGTGCAGAACAGGCCGCTTCCAGAGAAGAACAAAAAACAAACCTTGACCTCTGATCAAAACCAAACCTCTGATCAAAAGGTATTTTGCTTACGTATTTATATTTTTGAAGAACAACTACAAATTAAAGATTTCTACACTTTGCTATAGTGTGAATGCAATTTTTGTTTAAATATGACATGACATTTGATATATGTAAAGAGTGTAAAGAATACGAACTAATAAGCAGTAAGTTATTGTGGCTGTGATGTTAACATTTCGGTTTTACTATCTGAAGGTTGTGATTTAAACACTGACTCAGACACACTTTTTGTTGTCTTTTGTTTAAAAAAAAATACATTTTGTAGAAAAATTATATCGCAGTAATTTTCCCAAGTTTGGGCAACAATCTTTACCACATAACTCATAGTTATGTAAAATATTATTAGATCTACCTACCAAAAATAAATATATACACTAAAAAAACTGATAGTAACTCCTACCTAATCAAACAAATTCCATATTTTTTTATCAATTTAAATTCCATATTGTCCTACCATATCATATTTTCAGACATAAGTCATGTTCTCTAACAAATAAATCAATATTTACTATATCTGGAGATTGTTTTCAGACAAATAACGCATTCCTATTTTTAGATGAGAAAGGATAACACATTCGATTGGGAAGAAGGCTTGATAGTACTTAAAGATAAAGCTCCGCCAAGCATAGGTGTTCCTGCTAGTGCAAGTTTTTCGCATTGTAAAGATGCCGTCAAAACGAAAGAACACAAATGTACAGCGGCTATGGAGATAGCTAAATGTCTCTATGATTTCGATCCTCCTGTAAGTAAACCTAATTGTTATTTGATAGGTTTGTACTCCGTGATCAAAGTGCTTTTTTACTTAAAGGAGAAATTGATTTTCTTTCTTTCAATAGGAAGATATGACTTTAGAACACAAAGAAGCTGTTATAATCATAGACATATATAATACCTAGACTGCGCATTGCAATCTAAGCTCGTTCCCTAAGTGCGACAGAGAAAAAGATGTGAGAAATTCTTGCATCTCTTTCTAATGGGCGGGGTTTATCGTACACATGACTTTTCTACTACTAAACTCTCTAATTAGATTATATAATATTAAATAAAAATTTTAAACATTTAAACTTCATTAAAATCAATAAAATCTGTACCACAAATACGTAATTTTAAAAAGTCAAATTTTTTTTATTACATTTAGCCACATATTTCGCAAAAAAATTAACAATAAAAAACATTTAAAAAATGACATTAAGATACTGTCTGATAAATTTCGAGATGGCACAATATCTTATTTGGGTTGTTTAGGTTTTGCATCGAAATTGATCATTCAATTTTGATGAAAATTTTCACTGCATATAAGTGTATTATTGAAAGATATTTCCATATACTCCATTTGCTGCGTAATTTTTCTGACTTGGGAAATGTGAATTACATAATAATTGATTATATATATTCAAAATTAAACGAACTTTTAGAAATACTGTTTTTTCTTTAAATATTATTCAAAAATATCAATTGACCACTTATGAAATGATCCATTTTCATAATAATATACACTTTTTGGCGAACGCAACACTTCTTTACATAATCATCATCTTTGGCTCTACAACCTTGGATGGGTCTTGGCCTGTTCAAGAATTAGTCTCTATTCTCCTCTATCTTTCGCCCTGGCTTTCCAATTTCTGACAACTAGATTCCACAAGTCATCTTCGACTTGAGTTTTGAATCTAGATCTTGGCCTGCTCCTCTTCCTGGTTCCTGGCTATTGATATAATACTTCTTTACCATTTTCAAATTCAATTACATAAAATAGTCGATAAAATAATTATTTATACCGATTGCAAATAAAGGTATTGTTTAACATGTTATGTAGTGGTAAGGTCACGTGGTCGCTAAACCCCGCCCATTAGAAAGAGATGCAACCAATCTTTTTTCACTGTCGAACAGGAAAACGGGTTTAGATTGCTGCACACAGTCTAGGTATAATTAGTATATGTCAATCACGACAGTTGGGGATCTTGACGGGTCGTGTCTAGAGGGTTTAAGTTGTCAAAACGTTGCGCTTTAACCGGCTTTCTCAGTTCTAGAAACACAAAATCGCCAAAAATGGGGTCATTTTCTGGTTACTGACTGCTTTACGCAATCCATTTTAATACGTGACTTAAAATAATTCTTTGTTGATTGACACTTGGAGTGTACTCATTGTGCTCATAATGAACACAATCAATGTGGACTCTGGGATGATATGAATTTGGCTCACAAATATAGTCAAGTTAGTCAAGAAATGATATTAAATCCCAAGTTTCACAAGTTTGATATTTTTCGATGTTGTTCCTAAGGTCGACCAGAACGCGGCCAGTTATGAACCGAACGACTCATTGTCATCTGTATTTTGCTCATACGTTCATTTCCAAAGGACTTTTGCGTAGTTTGAACAGTTTAGACACATTATTGGAATGTATAGCAAATACAATGTAAGTTAAAGCAATGATTACGAATTACAAACTTTCTGTTGGTAAATTAGTGAACTTCGTGAAGAGTTACTGAATAAACTTGTAACACACTGAGTGTAATTGTAATAGTGTTATACATAGGCAAATCAGAACATTGTTGTTGATGGAAAGGATATTGAGCAGATTGCGTCGTATAAATACTTAGGGATGAAATTAGATTGGGCAGAGAAAATCTTTAAAGGAAAATCTTTGACCAATATGGTTAGGTAGTAAACAAGATTTGCGTGATTCGGGAGGCTATGGAACGCCAGAGGCTCTGAGAGACCGAATACCGAACGAAGAAATACGTTGTAGAACAAAAACAGCAGACGTTATCGAACGTATTAAGCCGGTAAAATGAAATTGGACAGAACACGTCGTCAGATTATCTGACAACCGATGAAGAGAAGAAGCATTACGGAGCAGAGTTGGCCTATCAACCAGACGGACTGACGACTAGAAGCGTCTTAGTAGTAACTGGATGCAAGCCGCACAAGCCAGATATATATATATATATATATATATATATAATATATATATATATATATATATAATATATATATATACATCCTACTATCATTTTGGCATCGATACATTATGCTTTTACCATCAATTTAGCATCGTCTTGCAAAGTAGCATCTGTATATCGACGCTACTTTACAACACCTTAATAACTTTTTTTCTATACTTGTTACAAGAATTTTAACCATCTCACTGATTAGAGATTTGATACCGTGTTGGTATTTTAAAATATCGGCTTTCTCTTTTTATCCCTTACTGAGTTATATAAGTTTATTCCAGAAAATGTTTGAGTCTAAAATGATGGTACGGTGAAAATATTATATATATTTAGTTCAGGGTTTTACCGTTTACTCGATGTCATTATATACATAAAAATGTATATCCAACTTTCATTATCAATCATTTTAGCATCAGAAATTTGGCATCGCTGTTGAATATAATATTACCCACAACGAAATAGTAAATTTAAAAATATATATATTTTTTTCATCCATAAATCATTCTGGCATCATGTTTTGTTAAAAGTAACGAGTTATGATATATTGTACCTACCTATTGTATCTTCGCTCCAATTGGTCCAGTCGTGACGTACAGTATCTCAAATGATAGGATTTAACCAATAAAATACAATAAGACAGAAAAATCAAATACAGCAGCATGTCAAAAAGGCCTTAGTTATATATCTTCGTTTCTATAAGTCCAATCGTGACGTACAGTATCTCAAATGATAGGATTTAACCAATGGAAAACAATGAAATAGAAAAATCGGATACAGCAACGTGCCAAAAGGGCCTTAGTTGTGTATCTTCGGGTCTATTATTCTAATCATGACGTGCAGCACCTCAAATGAAAGGTTTTAGCTAATAAAATACAATAAGGTATAAAAATTAAATGGAGTAGCATGTCAAAAGGGCCTTAGTTATGTATCTTCGGTCCTATTAGTCCAATCTTCACGTACGATATAGCAAATGGTAGCACTTAACTAATAGAATACAATGACTTAGAAATCAAATACAGCAACATGTCAAAAGGGCCCTATTTACGTATCTTTGTTTGTAGTGGCACAATCGTGACGTACAGTACCTCAAATGATAGGATTTAACCAATCAAATACTATGAGACAGAAAAATAAAATACAGCTTACATCAGCCTGTCAAAAGGGCCTTAGTTATGCATCCGCGGTCCTATTAGTCCAATCGTGAAAAGGCCTAGTTATGTATCTTCTATCCTATTAGTCCAATCGTGACATACAGTACCTCAAATGATATCATTTAACCAATAGAATGCTACGACGTAGATCAAATACAGCAACACGTCAAAAAGACCTTAGGTATAAATATTTGCTCCTATATATGCTATGTCAAAAGAGCCTTAGTTATGTATCTCCTGTCCTATAGGTCTAATCATGACATATGGAGCCTAAATGATAAGATTTAATGGAGATAATACGATGGTGGAGACAAAGTAAACATGGCGGCATGTAATATCACGGTAAACTGGCAGCAATAAAACGTTATAACCCACAGAGGTCTATGGCATATTACGTGACAGAATTTAGCGAATAGCATATGATTTGCATACGTCTACTTTTAGTCAACTACTGTACATATGATAAACACGAAAAAGTTCCAACATTCACTGTTAGACATATGCCTCCCGTTCACTGCACACATTTACTGCTCCTTGACGCTGTGACGTAAATTGGATAGGATTTAACAAATAGAATGACAGAAAATTAAATAAGACAGTGTGTCAAACGTGGAATGCATCGTAGAACGTGAAATATATAATATACATTTAAGAATATGAAATAATACACCATTTAAAAAAAATGACGTTAGTTGAGGCAGATCAGACCAGAAAAAAATGTCAACATTTGCAGAATACTTAGCTAGTATTTTTAAAATATACCAACCAGATAATAATAATCAAGCAATAGAACACTGAAAACTTTTGTTTTTAACTGTACGCCCATGAATGACTAGCTATTTTTAAATACCTTTTGATATTGCTTTTTTTTATTGTATTTTTCCCATTTTTCAAGATAATTCTTGTAGGGATATATTTATTTATAACATACGGTCTTATGGTCTTACGAACAGTATTACGGCTTTAATTTGTACCACACTGCTAATTGAGAACTATGTTTGTAATGCAATAAGAGGTCCTGATATACGAGACACCAGTGACTCATGCCCCACTGATACAAATCCGACAGGAATATGCATTTCTATAAAAACAATAGATTATTTGTTTTGTGTATTAATTAAGTTTAGGTAAACGAACAAGACTTGCATTATAAAAAATTTTTCTAAATGTAGAATGTAAACCATATTTCGTATGCTTTGTGAAAGAGAACCAGTTTATAACATTCCGGACGACGCAAAAACACTTTTTTATTAGAATATTGGTCGATAAATTATAATCATAGTTTAAAAAACGAATTTATGTGCATATGGTCTACTACAAAAAATGTAAAACCAAAATCTTGATTAAAAAAGTGGCAACCGGTTACTTATAATGAAATTTACCCCCATTATTGATTTCACAAGTGAAAAAATGTGTCAACAAAAAACCAGTTTTAATTATTACAATATTTCAACATAATAGTTTTATCTTGGTTTAATCAGGTGAAAAGAAAAATTATACACAAGTGCTAAAACCACAAGCTATTCTCGATTATAACTTGGTGAAAAAGAGTGTTGATTTTAGTAATCAAATTGCTTCTTACCAGAACCCAATATCCAAAATTCTGAAGTGGTACCGGAAAGTGGCAGTGAAATTAATA